ATTATATTGCTCAATATCGATAGCATTCTACTTTCTAGGATTAAACGTCGAGAGAACGGAATGTTGCGCGACGAAGAATCGGGATTCCCGGGGTGAGAAAGAACGGAACGCGATCCCGATCTATTCCGAACGGGGCGCCCCTAAGCTCGTTCTTTTCGCGTCTACACGGAGCCCAGGTGACAAGTTGACAAAGTGGCCGACTACACAGGGCCGACTGTCCTCCTGTCTCGAGACGACGAGCGATCGGAAATAAATACTCCAGCGGGGTTTTGTGTATCTCGAGTATACCTCTTCGAAAACGGCCGCAGTCGACGTTGGAAGGTCCGTGGCGAGAGGGAAGGGCACGAGCCTCTTTCACGCCTTCGTAAAAGAGGAGCACTTCGCGTGGAAACGGATCGTTGCGCGCGCGCACAGGCAGGTATAATAGACCTATGGCAGACCGATCCGTCCGGAGAGAGCGAGAGGGATGTAGGGTCCCCCGACCGGTCACTCGAGATCCATTTAAATTGCCATCCGATTTCTGGTTTCGCACGCCACATTGTCGCCGTTGCCGCCGTCTATCTTGGGTCTGAGCATTGTGCCGCGGAGAGAAGCAGGGAAAAAAGAGATTCGTTTCACGATTAGTTCGAACCGCTTATTGCCCGCGAGCCTGGAGCACCTTGAAGTCGACGAAGTCGCCGATGGAAAAGACATCGAAAGAGCCGTGACAATGGCGTTTGGCTCTTTTCGCGCGCGCGCGTGCGTGCACTCGATGCGGTGTCCGCTGTCCGCGTCGTGTTGGTTCACGCTGCCCACGCGCACGTGAGTGCCTCTGCGTGACGTTGTCGCTTACGTGCCCGTGCCGTGCATCCCCTGGACGCCACGTATAATGGAAGCCCGGCGCTCCAATTGTATTCTGCGGACGCGTGCAGAAGCCGAGAGTCATCGAGAGTCTCTTTACGCCGGTCTATTAGCGGTGACCAAGGGAGAGCACATGCAGAGAACGATTTTACAGAAATATTAAAAAATTTAGCTACCCAAGTGGGAATTGAATACTGGTGAGAGATACTGGCCCAATACTAACTTTTAATATTGAGCACCAACGTGATACTAGGTATCAATATTGGAGTATTATTGGAATGATAGCAATGGGCTTGAAATATATTAGTATTCTGTAAAACTTTTAGTGAAGATCTCACTCTGAAGAATAAAATCTCATTCTCAAAGATTGAAAATTGAGACATATCTTTTCAAGACTGGCTCAATTTTCACTTTTTAGAGTAACATTTCACTTCATGACATTTTAAGATTATACTTAAGCCAATCTTAAGTATAAGAACCAATTATGAATACTATAATATGTCTATGGTTTATATTTTGTCTTTTACCTTCTCTTATCGGAAAGGATTAAATATTACAATAATAATAATAATATGTACTGTATAAAAAATTAATACCGATTCTCAATATTGCAATGGTACCATAACTCAATAGTCTTTGAAAATAATTCTATTAGATCATCAAAATAATTATGTAGAAAACTCGAGCGTGATATGAACAATACTAAAGAGGGTTTCCATATTTTAGTAATCAGTTTGAACATTCTACATAGACTATTAGTCCGATAAAATTAATTTCAGATTTGTTTATTATCTATAATTTTTTTTATAATAAAACTGTTTTTTCCATAGAAAATTTTAGACACACAAAATTTTCGAATGTTGCAATTAACATTCGCGTTACGTGATTGAGACGTCGCGTATTTTTTTCAGGTTACACCTCGGATTATTATTGTGTTATTCATGGAATAACAACTGCCAAAAACGCAAATAGATATCAATGATTTATCATCCGTGTTACGTGTCGCGTGATGATTTATATACGTATAAAGTAACATTCGACTGGTAAATTTTTTAAATTTAAATTTTTAAAGTTTAAGTTATGTATTGTTAAATTTTTTTGGTGTCCCACAGCGAAAAGTGTTTTCATAAAATGTTAATTATTTTGAATTGTAGGCTGCGTATGACTTCTGCTTGCGAGCGATAAATTCGTTCTAAGCGAGGCGCGCCTCGCGAATCGCGTCATCTTGCGTTTTCCCTGCCATCCCTTCGTTTCGCTTCGTGTCTCTCGCCTCATGTCTTTTATTCGTCGCTCGCACGTTACTCCATTCGCGACAGCGGGAGAAAGAGAGAGACGCTTAAAAAAACGGAGCCATATAACTCCGGATCAAGCTGATGCGGCATTTTGCGCGCTTTACGTCGACAATTTACTGGACCACACGTGCGTGCGCCGCGGATCCTGACGCGTCGCGATCCTGAAAGGATCGCCTTCAACGTGCAGTAACAACTCACGCTGGCGTGGGCCGCCGATTGTCCCCGCGACGTGATCTTACGCGAATTTACAGTTTCGCTCACGCATAGGTGTGCTCCAAGCACGCGTCTACCTACAGCCGGATGCGTAATTTATCCGTGTGAGTTAGCGTGATAGCGACAGACTTATATCTAGAAATATAAATAAAGATCTCTTGAATCTCTTTTATGCCATGAACATATCAAAATTATGTATCATGCGATTTTTCATTGATTTAATATACTAATGTAGTAACTATTTGTGACATAATGGAACGCAGCGTGAAATGCAAAGATCGAGAGTATGAGATTAGTTACATAAAACTGAATGTATTTGCAGTTTTTACGAATAATTTTAATATTATTTTTTTACTTAATTTTTTGTTAATTTTGACAAATAATTTTTTATTAAAAACACTATTCGCATTAATTTCGAGCACGGCTATTGCAAAAATACTGCGAGGTTTCGCGTAGAATCGCATGATACGTGAAATAAGCAATTCTATATTTGAACGCAAACAAAGCGTAAGATATTTTATTAACGATACCTAAGAGTTTGAATCTTACGATGTGACATCGTGACAATTAGTTGATAATGACTGACACTGTGCCCCAGAGTGGTGAAATTCTGAGGTTTATCTATATTTTAGATTTTTCCAACTCTTGCGATCACGAAGTCAACGCATACTGAAAGGATTTTGTTAATTTAACAAGCCACCAGTACCTTTAACCGGTGATTGGTAAATATGTGACAACAAATTTTATTGTGTTTGCTGCTAGTTTGCTATACCAACCAATTATTAGTAACAGAAGCAAACTATATAGAACCTATCTTTTGGATAGACTTTAGACTTGTTTGCATAGAATTCGTAGATGATCGTGGAGTCTTAAGTAGGAAACCGACCAAGCACAGTCAAATGTAGAGAAAATACTTGATTAGAATTGGTCAATTTCTTACGATTTGGGATCCTGCAATTGTCTACGACTTTTATATATACATATGAGCTTCTTATTTGCTAGTAATACTATTGATTATTTGTTGACGAATTTGCAATCGTAACAAATTGATCAGTTTTTTAACAAATATCACATTTGCTTTCCTTTGATTTCCTATAACAAAATCATTTCTCTCAGTACACTAAGATTCAAAAAAACTTGAGATTATAAACAGCTAAATAAAGCATGTAACTCGCAAGTTTTATCAATATATTTTGCTTTACTTTATTATTATAGCCGTTTACAATGTTCTGATATCGTGAAAGTCAATAAGAAAAGATACTCTAATGATCGCCGATCTTAACACATCAAGTACTTGCATAAAGAAAACAAATAATGATATTAGATTTGTCTAATTTATTGATACATTAATTTTTGACAATAACACTTTGTTCAAATTTTACAGTTTTATTTCATACATTGAAAAAATTTCTGAGTGAAAATGAACGAAAAGATTTTGATCATATCAATCAGAATTCTAGTTATCTCAACTAGAATTATAATAAATTCAATAAAAAAATTGTCCATTTTCAATCAGTATTCCAATTAAGGCAACCAGATTCTTTTTTCAGTATACAGTCTTATTTTGCGAATGTTTGTCTGTTCGCTCTAAACTCTTGAATATTTTTATCATAACATCGACAATGCAAATATTTCGAATCATAAAATAGATTTTACTTATTATATAATAGGACAATAAAATGTATTGAGAATTTAATGTTTTAAGCTTTTTTTATATGGTATTTACGTTAAATTAACACACATTTTTACTGGTGCTTTAATAGTGGCAATTTAATGGTGTTTTAATTTGCTATTAGTCTTTTACTTAAGTTCTAGTATCGTGATTCGGATAAAAATTATAATTACTGAGTTTTCTGACTATTTTGAAAAAGTCAATGCGCAAAGATGCGAAATAAGTTGTTTATCATTTTCATCAAGAATCGCTAATTGAAATTGCCATGTTGCGTTTTGGCATGCTGTTTTTTTTTTATTTTATCACAGAGTAATGGATATATTAATAATTAGCGATTTTGTCAATATTATAACTGCGCTTAATATGAATTTAAAATTCACGAAGTGATAATCTGTTCCGTGGTTTCAATAAGATCAGAAATTTTTAATACATTTTCGAACACTAAATGCAATTAGATCGGTCGATTGCATTAAATACATGCACCGATAAAACAATTTATAAGTGATTCACGAAACTGATTAAATCGCATCAGTGTATTGTATTACGAATTTCTTTCAAAAATTCATGAATGACGTTTATAATAAAATTATAAACATTCGTTTGTTTATTTATATTTTAGATTGATATTGAAAGGCCACTTTCGCTTATTCAAATCAGTCATAAATAATTATTGTGTAATATATTTCATCAATTTGAGTCATTCTTGTGACTAATGTTTATCATTTTTACTAATGTAGATTATATTTAATCTTAATTTAATTTACTTTTTATCTTTTCCTAGTTTTGAGAATTAGAAGATTAAATCGAAATTATATAAAATCAGTCTATATTGTCAAAAATAGACGTAATTCAATCTGTACGTTATATTCAAAATTATTACTGTACAAAATTATGACTGTATAGAAATCACAATGTCCTCCTCCACCTTATTCTCCCTTACGCATTGATCAGTCCTTACATTTACGAGTATCCACGGTACGTACCTTCATGATCTCCGTGAGAGATCAAAGTAAAGAGGAGCTCCTTGTAAACTTGTGGATGCACCGGTACGCGGATAATAAACCCTCAATCTCTCATTCACAGCTGCTGCAGACCTTTCTGCGACATCGCACGGGACGTCACGAAATGCGATCGCGACGGATGCAAAGGAAATTATTCGCGAGAGTTACTAAGCTATCAACTCCGCGAGCACCGCCGGCGATCGTTAAGCGCCATGCGAGGAGGCGACGCGCGAGAGGAGCACCATGATATACAATACGGGAGAGTCGGTCCACGTTCCGGGCTCTCTTGCTATAATAACGTACCTCCCGGTCTCGCGCGCGCTCAGCCGGGATGATGCTGTACGCCACACAGGCGTAGAGCGAACGCGGCGCCGTACTCGATCGTAAAAACCCTCACCCACCCCCTCTCGTCACCACCCGCTCCGCTGTCGTCGGAGC